ATAATGAGATACATTAGCTGTATGGTTTACCAGTGGTAGCGTTCTGTCCATACACAAGATAACAGATGAAGTACTGCATGTCCAGTAACACTATAGCAAGAGAGTTGAGTTGATCAGCAATCCAGAAATCAGGAAATGAGACATCATAATACGGGAATAGGATCCTTACCTAAAATAAGATGAATGAATTAATGTTGTGTAAAATGTTTAAATTGATTCCAATCAAAATTGGATTTTTTATGAATTTTTAAATTTGCTCCAAAATCGGGTCAAAGTCCCTATACTATAGTACAGTTACGTTGGCCAAAAATGAAAAGTAGAAAATTCTACATTATTATAATTTTTCCTGATATACATACATGATCTTATGTTGTGTAGAAAGTTTGATTTGATTCCAATCAAAACTGGATTTTTTATGAATTTTTAATTTGCTCCAAAATCGGGCCAAAGTCCCTCTACAGTCCCTTAAAAAGGTGCAAAGTCCTGTAAGTCCCTGAATCAGGATGACTCCTAATGCTTTGATCAGTTCTCCTCTTGTAGCCTAAGGAATGGTCTTCTAGACTAATGGTCTTCAACCAGAGGGCGTACATGTGCTGTAGTCTTTGGTGGGTCTCTCGTGTTCAATGGCCATTAAATCTTTCATATCCAGTTCCAGTAGTACCCCTAGTCTCAGCCACTCTGTACCAACGTCCTAAGTTGGGAGGCTTCTGTCGTTTAGTGATGGCTTGTCCTCCATTGTTTCTGTGTACAAGAACACACCCCCGCACTTCTTAATTTAATTAATATGCAAAGTAATTATTAAAAAAAAAAACAATAAAAAGCATCATTATAACATATTTATGATTACAACGATTAGAAAATAAGGAAATGATTTCCAAAATTAAATCAATAGCAGGAGGAGGAGTATGGTCGGTATCCTATTGTGAACACAAAAGGTTAACATTCATTAACTTAATATGTACATGTACATACCTATATATTTTTATAGTTCTTTAAGCATGAAATTTCCTATCTTTTTCATTGCTGCACCTTGCTGAATCAAAATATTACACACATCAACTAAATATTGTCTTTCATCAAGAGAAGCTTCTAATTGACGTATCACATCAGTCATTACTCTGTCAGCTTTATCAGCAGTAGCTACACCAACTACTGTCATTACATATTCTCTAGTCCCTTCTGGTATTAGATCATTGGAAAACAATGCATTAACTACATTGCTAACATCAGCTGCTATTGCTTTGGACAGCTTAGCTGAATATTCCTGTAGTATCTCCTTTGGAGTTCCTACAGTTTAAATAAAGAATAAGACATAAAAATTAACATTATCATAGCAGTAAACATGAAGATGAGAAGGTTGTCTACTGTTAATGTGAACAGCAAAAAATTAAAAAGCTATAGAAACAATAAGTAGTACCTTTAATAATAAGACATTAAATTAGTATCAATGAATATTAATGTATTTTACTTTGTTTTGTAGGAGAAGTTGACTCATCATTAGAAGTTGGAGTGTTTGGTGTACCAGCTGTGGAAAATTTAAAGAATAAAAACCAGCAGGTCATTCACAATCACAAATAATAATAATAATAACTAGTAGAAAGAATGTAAAAATAAAACAATGAGGGGCTCCGCCTCCTGACCACACCTCCCAGTCAGGCCTAGACGTACGTACAAGTACGTTCTTGTAAGTAAGGGCTTAATTTGCCCAATAATGTTTGTTAATGGATGATGTGTACATATCTTACCAGACTGTCCTTTCTCTATTGAAGTACTTCCATGTTCCTGAGATTCATTCAAAGTGTTGGTTGTTGTTCCTTTATCTTTATTATTATTACACTTTACTCCTCCATCTCCCTACACACACAATATAGTAAAATAATGATGATGAGGAGTGTTTCTAATAACTGTTACCTTATTATCAAGATCAGACTCACTGATCTGTGTGGATGAGCTGCTCTTTTGACTTGTTGGCTCTATACATGTACATATAGTATAAGAATGGAAAAACAGTTATTGTTATAAAGAACACTCCCACTACTCCACAATTGTGATACTGTACTGTACATATTATCACCTACCTGTAGTCAATGGTGTGTTGAATTCTTCAGCTATTTCAATCAATTCCTATACAATAATAATAATAATAACTGATATTTGTCACTGTGCTTGTTTATCAAGGTGATATACACCAGTAGTGTATTGCTGAAAGGTGAGTTTAACAGATGTACAAGTATATATTATTAATAGTAAAAGCCACACAATGTCAACCCACAATTATGACAAAGACTGAGTAATTGATAAGAAATAAAAATTATTTTTAATATTCCACCTTTTGCTTGTATTAATGTATCAAACAGTTTGTGTGTGTTAATTCTTACCTTAATATCACGTCCTCCTAATAGTGACAGGTTACTAATATCTGATAATGATTCATCAGATAGGATCTCCGTCAATTCTTTGTGTCCATTATCACTCACAAGAAATGGTCTTCCTTCCCTAACTACTGATAGTAAATCACAAACGTCATAAACTGTCCTTTCTCTTGGTGTATTCACAGGATAGGCTAGTTATTTAGGATCAATAACTAAAGGACAAGAATTTTTATAAACACTCATTACCTCTCCTATCACTTTTCTTCTAGAGACACCATATTGTCACTGTAACCTTTCTCACAAGACATCATATTACTAGTACAATATTTGTCTCTAATGTTACTAGCAAAAGATTTCTCTTCTATTGTATCCAGTGCTGTAGCTAATGATGACCAACTGGGACCTCCTTTCTCTCTCACTTTATCTTCTCCTCTTAACCAGGCAGACATACACTCATGGAAACACTCCACTGGATCTCCTCTATTCTTCTTGTCTATATCCACTAGTCTAGGATCATATAATCCTAACTGTAGACCTAGTCTACGCCATACAGAACAGGGCAAGTGTTGATCAGATGTTAATTCTTTAATGACAATATCGAGATCTTTAATATCTAAAAAAATATAGATAGGTCTGGTCATATTAATAAATAATTCTTAAACAACCATGCAATACACACATAATACTGTACCTAGCGTATGACCTTGAACATCATTAACTTCCTACAAGATATCAGTTAAACCAAATATTATATGTAAGTGCTACATTACCTCATCAGGCCCTCCTAATAGTGACAGGTTAATATCTGATAATGATTCATCAGGTAGGATCTCCTTCAATGCTGTTTGTCCTTTATCACTCACAAGAAATGGTCTTCCTTCCTTAATTGCTGATAGTAAATCACAAATGTCATACACTGTCCTTTCTCTTGGTGTATTCACAGGATAGGCTAGTTCTTTAAGATCAATAATAAACTCTTTAACTTTTAAACCAGGACAGGAATCTTTATAAACACTCATTACTTCTCTTATCACTTTTCTTCTTAGAGACACCATATTGCCACTGTAACCTTTCTTACAGGACATCATTACTAGTACACACTGGCTCTCATCCACAATCTCTACCAATACTTTCACACCATAGCCATCAAACCAGTGAAGACCGTTTCTCCAAAATTTGCATTTACGACTCAATTTTTCAGCTAATTCTTTGTTCCCTTTTGATAATGAAAACTTAAAAGCAAGATGTAATGAGAGGACATGGAAGTATCGAGGAGGAAAAAAATCATGTTTACTAGTACACTGTAGACACCAACCGAACTGGTACACTTCACTAGTCATCTCATCAGGTCTATCAGTAGACAAAAGACATGGAAAGAACAACAACCTTTCTCCTCTTCTTTGAGTCTCTGAGGCACTGTCTCCTGTCTCCTCTCTATCTCCTGCTATTAAGTTTGTCATTCTTAGGAAAGATGGATCACCGAATTCTTGACAGAGTTCCATATTCTTCAGGAAACAGATCAACATGTCAGGATCATATTTAGGGAAGAGTCCCTTCAGACCAGACACACTAACAATACCAGTATTGCTAGCAATTTCAACGTGTTCTTTGAATGTCTTTGGAGCAAAGAGAATCCCATCCACCTCAGTTAGTAGTATGCCCTTATTCACAACAACCCATACCTTGTCTTCACTTTTAAGAACACTGATCAAACCAGTTGAGTGCAGCGAATATAGAGAATCCAAGACATCTTCAATCTTATCTGGTATAACATAATCATTATTGTCATCACCAGCAGACATTACATCAGAGAGGGTCAGTATATTCTCTTTCCTTTCCACCAGTAGTCGGTACATTTCATGATCATAAAGACTAGATTTATTCCTTCTTGTACTACAAATGGACTCACAGGCACTAGACAAGTTTTGAAAAAATGATTTTACTTTCCCACCAAGCTTACGACAATCTAAGAATACACTATCACACCTTTCCTTTACAATAATCTCCTGTATTTCTTCTTTTCTCCTTCTCCTTTCAACAGGATTACTTATCTCATCCTTATGACTGACTATTACAATAACATGGCATTGATTAAGAGCTTTCTGTGCTTCATTTCTCACAACTGTTAGCCACTGATGAAGCTGTTTCACTGCTTCCTTCTCCAATATGTTCACTACTATCAGGAACACACCACCAGAATCTTGTAAAAGATTCTCAATGACAGCACTGTGACTGGAGTAGTATTCTGGATGACCAGCAAAATCATGAAGAATGATGTTACCGAGTGTCCTGTGTTGT